TATATTAAAATAATGACTTTAAAACCGGCTTTCATCACTTAGTTGAAAAAACTACCACATTTAATAAAACAAGATTTGTTACTAAATAACCCATTTTTATTTGGCATTTCATCAATCTGAAAACTACAAGTTCCCTAAGGATTCTAGCCCTATCTTTCTTGACCATGTTTGCCTCCTAGCCCTGCCTGGAATATATTAAGAGCTCAATAAATGAAGAGAGACACTAATGAATGAGTCTATGTGCTTGCTTTGAAATCCATACCTGAAGTTTCTTAATAGTCTGCAAAAGTAAATATTTTTAAAGTCTTTTCTAAGAGTGATTCTCAAAAATCAACTGTTGAAATTCCTAAAAATACATATTTAGACATCTAGGCCCTAAACCTCCAAGGATAGGCTCAAGTTTCACTGGTGACTGTGACACACAGCCTCCCTGAAGGCAGAAAGGCAGATTCAAAGAAGCCAAAGCGTGTCCGTGATACGTGGAGAGTGTTCCAAGAAAGCACACCTTGAAGAGATTTATATTTCTTATTCAAAAGGCCATATTACAATACAGCAAACATCATGCACCTGCGTGCACTTCAGACAATAGCACTTCAGACAATACGAAGGTCACTCATCAAGTTTTCCTACTTTGGGTTTCAACTCTTACGTTAGAATAGCCAATCAAAAACCAAGTGGTTGTGAGGTTAAAAATATGGGCAAATTAAGCCAGGAAGTTTAGTAGGTAGTTGGTTCCTTAAGTAATGGCCAAGCCCACTAGATCACCCTTTCCAGTATTTAAAATGACAAAACCTACAGGGTGAAAAAAAAAAACGTGTGCTGCTATGGCCAAAGGAGCTCGGAACATAATCACGGGGTGACCATACGGATCAAACGTCTGCGTCCCCCGGGGTGAATCCGCTGAGAAANACTGAAGAAATTATACACTAACTTTGTGTTAAGTAGGTACTGTTTTTGAAATATAAAGCTTTTAAAACTACAAATCCGGCTGGCCGAGTGGCTCAGTTGGTTAAGAGCTCGCTCAAGAGTTTGAGCTCTGAGCAACAGCGGTTTGATTCCCAGGCCAAGCTGAGCAGCCGCTGAGCTGCCAACAGGTGGCAGGATGGCTCAGCTTTAATAAAAAACAAAAAAACAAAAAAAAAACTACTAATCCTACTTTCTTTTGGAACCAGGTTGTTTATTTAACCAAAAGCTTGAACCTTGGTTAAGTGGGGCTTTCAGTATAGTACATGATATTCTATGTATGAAGTCTAATGAAGAAGCATTACTATTGACAAGTGAATTTCTGTTTAAGTCAACATTAAATAAGTTTTTATTCCTTGTATGTTTCCCAATAAGAATAAAGAAGCAGTCAAAATCAAGTGGATAATACAGGAAAATCATACAAAAAACATGCTATAGATAATCCAGATAACTCCAGACTGACTGAACCAAGGGACAAAGCAGTGCTATTATATAGTTATAAAATATAATGGTTATAAAAAGTAACCACTGATCACAATGACTTCTTCTTATCCTTGGAAACCTACTAGTCTAAAAGATGATGACGAGAAGCTTACCACCATTGCAAGGCCAGTACTGTATACACCAGCATGCTTTATGACACAGTCTGAAGACTTCATCATGCATTTTGTTTTCCCTCTGAGTTGTATAAATATTGCAAGAATTACATATATATATATATATATACATATATATATGAGACATCAATTTTAAGTTTATAGATGTATATAGGGATTAGCATTTCATACCAGAACAAGAACCAAATTCAAGGAAGTGAATATCTGGGAATTTCAGTCTTTCTCATGATAGTACCTACTATTTAATAAGGGCCTTCTAAGTGCCAGGTGCCATACTAATTAATGCTTTCCTTTATATGGACTCTCATTTCAATTAACTCTTTGAAAAAGAAATGAGCATCTTCCTTTTAAGAAAACTCAGGTTTAACTCAAGATTTGGTGATTTGCCCAAAATCACATAGCCAACAAGTAGAATTCAAGTAATGTTTAACTCCAAAACTTGAGCTTTTGAGAAGAGTAGAAGTAAAAAGCAATCTATCTGTGAAGATGATACCATCGACCTAGTCAGCAACTGGTTCTCACACTGGAAGATAAATACAGTAAGAATGATGTGTGCAGCTTAAATACACACGCCTAGCACCCACCACATTCTTAAAGACAGAATCTCCAGGGATTAGGCCTGTG